ATCCTGAGTTCAGGCCCAAGTATCAGGAAAACAAAGCAGATCTCCCTCCTCAAAACATTCCAAGATTTAAGCTTTCTTTTTTACTATATGCTATAATACACTTACTCCCCTTTGAGGAGGATCAGGGAGGGTATTCCGTGTATATGCATGTTCGCATGTGTGTGAGTGCCGGTGCATGTAGCGGCCAGTGGCTGACACTGGGTGCCTTCCTCAGTTGCTCAATGCCTTTCTCCTGGACTGTAAGGTCACTGATTCAGCCAGTCTTGCTAGCCAGCTTGCCCATGGACCCCTTACACCCACCTCCTAAGTGATAGGATTGCAAGCAAGTTACCACGACCTCCTGTCATTTACCTGGGTACTGTGGATCTAAACTCGGGTCCTCATGCTGGCATTTTCCTGTGTGTGTGTGTGGGCGGGGTTTAGCCAAACAGTCCTGGCTGACCTCAAATTCACCACTATCCTTCCTCAGTCGCCCCAATGTTGAGATCATGGACACGGGCCACAGCACCCAGCCACAACGCTTTTTACTTAGACCAAAATCATTTTTTTTTTGGGGGGGGGTAGAGGTGAGAGGGTTTCTCTATTTAGACTCTGCTGTCCTGGAACTTGCTGTATAGACCAGGCTGTCCTCGAACTCAGAGATCCACCTGCCTCTGCCTCCTGAGTGCCGGGATTAAAGGTGTGTGCCACCACTGCCCGGCCCCAATCACTTTCAGCCTCACAATACAGAAGTGCAGTTGACAGAGGACAGGGGTCTCCAGCTCAGCCTCCTAGCATTCCTAAAGGCTTGGGCTGGACCCCAGCACCTTGCAAACCAGGCTGGTGGTGCACACCTATGACCCCAGCACCCAGGAGGTGGACGCAAAAGGAACAGAAGTTTAAAGACATCCTCAGCTACATATTCAAGGTTAGCCCAGACTATAGGAGACTCTGTCTCAAAAAAGAAAAAAAAGTCATAGGAATTTGAAAAAGAGGGTGACAATGGAGTAGAGACATAATTCCAAACTGTCTCCTAGGACACCTGGATCCTCATTTCTGGTCTCCCCACGATCATAACTCATACCAAATAACAAGCGCTGGAAACAGAATCCTCCATATGGCACTGGGTAAATTACTAAACCCCTTTCTGCTTTTGATCTCCCATCTGTCACATGAGAACAATACTCCTTGTTTTTTTTTTTTTAGGCTGGTATGCATATAAGAGCAGAATAACTTTCCTTATTGAAAAAGAAAAGCCAAAATAGTGGTGCACTAAAATAATACTAGAAAACTGGGCAAAATGACCCCCTAAAAACCCAAAGATCTGGTACCTGATGTTAGTCAAATAATTCCCTAAAGAAGGGGAGTTTACTATATATGAAATCTGGGCAAGCACTGTTATCAGAAGTAGCAGGGAATGATAGTGTCCGTGCTGGATACAACCATTATTATTAATTATAAATATTAAACTGTCCCAAGTTTATAGTTTACTAGAAGAGACTTAGTGCACTTAAGAATGACCCCATGCTGGGTGCACGCCTGTAATCCCAGGCCTTGGGAGGTGGAGGCAGGAGGATCTGGGCTTCCACAGCTAGCCTCAGTTACACAGTGAATTAAAGGTCAGCCTGGGCTGGGCAGAGGTGGTGCACGCCTTGAATCACACCCACTATTCGGGAGGAGAGGCAGAGGCAGAGGCAGGAGGATCTCTACCAGGAGTTTGAGGCCAGTCTGGTCTATAGAATCAGTTCCAGGAGAGCCAGGGCAGCACACAAGAGAAATTTTGTCTCAAAAGATCAAACAAACCAAAAAGGTCAGACTGGCCTGTATGAGGGAGGCTCCATCTCAATAAAAAATTAATAATAATAGTGAGCAAGTGTGGGAGTTTGCAGCCATGCCCGTGGACCTGAGTCCGATCCCAAGACCTACATCCTGGAAGGAAATTGTTGGTCCCTACACAAGTCATGGAATCTACATGCCCCCACAGTACAAAATACAGAAACAAAAATGGAACTTTTAAGGGGGGAGTAGGAAAAGGAAAAAAATAGAAGAATATCCCACTCTGATCCTCATCTCTTCAGGAAAGTTGAGCCGTCCGCCAGGATAACTCTTTGGCTTTCTGCCCTTATTAGATTTCCTAAGTCGTCTACCCTCTAGCTAGCATTCCAGAGCTCTGGAAGATTAGCATCTGCACCTGATCCCTGGCATCGCACCTGCCACTCTAGGCTGTCAACCTGGGCTAAACCGCGTCGTGTTTTCCATTCCTGGCTACATCGCACTGCTGGAGGCACACAAGTCAGAAGGAACAGGACACTTTTATCCTAAACTTCCCTACTTCTTTCCCCTTTCCCCTCATCCTCCTCCTTTTTTGTGTGTGTGGAGGGAGAGGGTCTCAGGTATCACTGGTTGGCCTTGAACTGCTGATCCACCGGCCCCTCAGTGCTGGGATTACAGGCGAGTGCCACGGTACTCGATATTATGCAGTGCTGTGGATGGAAACTCGGGACTCGGAGCATACTAGGCAAGCACTCTACCAACGGAGATAACAATGCATCCCCAGCTAAAGTTCCCTTTAAAGGTCTATGTCAATTTCTGGCCCTTTAAATCCCTCCCCCACCCCACCCCAGTTCCTTTCGATTCTCCACACTTTCTCTCTCCCCACCTGCAATTCGCCTTCGCCTCCCTCAGGGAGTTTCTCCAATCTTCTCGTATCCTTCTACAGCCCCCACCCTTCCCTCCGCAGCGCGACTCCAGCCTCGCCTTTCAGTGCCCCCGCGCTGTTTCCCTTTTCCCCCCACGACACATCTCTGCAGCAGGCGACCTTCCACCACCACGTCCAATGCCTCCCGGATCGCTCCGAGCTCCTTGCCGATTCCCTTCACCCCAAACCCACTTTTCCCCGGATCCACTTACAGGAGGCCGGAGCAGGTGGTGCAGACGAAGCTGCCCACGGTGATGTCCACATAGGTGACCCCGCGCTGGGCACACTCGAAACAGTGGCGGTTCCCGGCCTGGCTGCAGCCGCCCAGCTCCCGCACTCGGCGGCACCACACCTCCGAAGCCGCTTCAGCCTCCGCTTTGCTCCCTCCGACCCCGCCACCCGGGCCTGGGCCCTTCTTAGCCGCCATCACCATCTCTCCTCCAAGCTCCTCTGCAAGTCTGCGGTTTCTCCCCTTCAACCGCTCGCTGCCTTCCCGCCTCCGCCGCCTTCGCACGCCCGGCAACCCTGACACCAGCTCCTGCAGCCCCGACCGCGACCGCGACAGACTCCGCCGCCCCCTTCCTCGTCTCGTTCTGCACGCTGATTAGCTAGTCCCCTCCTACCTCCTCGCTCTGATTGGCCCGATTCGGGACGGCTCGGGTTGCTGGTGCCTCCACAGCCACGCCCCACTGCCAACGGGCCACCGGCCTTTCCCATTGGTTCACCGAGACCCCCCCACCGTGCTAGCACGGCGCGTGCCCTCCTCCTTGTCCACGCCCCCTCTCGCCACGGGTTCCTAGGCTGACTCTTATTGGTTGTTAAGGTTGCAAAATTAGCGTGCGAGAGAAAGGAGGTGGTCCGCGCGCGCGCAGTGCTCACCCTCCGGCCTGGCATTAATTCCCGCCAAATTTCAAAGGCTTGTTCCAGGCTGAGCCAAGAGACGTGCAAGGCAGAAAAGAAGTGGCCCGAGGAAAGACTGAAGGGGAAAGGGAAAGGCAGAGAAGGGGAGGGTGAAGCTTTATAAAAGATGTCTTATTTACCCATGCCGTAGGTGGAGCCCCCACTTAAAAACTTGAGGTGGGGTGCCAAAGATAGCTTAAGGGACGAAGGCATTTGTCACCAACCCTTACAACCCAAGCTTGATCCCTGGAGCTCACTCCTGTAAGAAAACTGACCCCTGTAAGCTGTCTTCTGAGCTCCAAGAGTGTACACACATATAAATTATGTAAAAATTATTCAAGAAAACATGCTGAATGAAGTGTATCACAGAACTGGTTTGGGGTCCAATCAGAATTTGAACCTGAGTCTTTTGATTTTAAAAACTCTGCTCTGGAGCCAGGGATGTATCTTGGTTGGTAGAAAGCTTGCCTAGCAAGTACTGAGCTCTGGGTTCAACCCCCAATACTACATACAACCCAGAATGGCGGCACAGGCCTGTAATTCAAGCATTTGGGAAGTGGAGGTAGGAGCTTTAGAGGCTCAAAGTCGTCCTTGGTCACTACCTGGAAAGGGAAAGGCTGGAAGTGAGGAGGTCTGGGTGTTGACAACCGTTAACCAACAGTTTTGTTTCAGACGTGTCAACGGGGTACCTTTTGAACCCTCCAGTGGGCTGACGAAGGAGGTGGGTGCCAGGCCTGATTCCAGGAGAGACCAGAACCAAAGAAACAGGTTCAGGAGTCGTCATTTCAGGGAGTTATGTAGGGGCACGGACATGATGAAGTTGCTTAGGTGTTACAGATAGATGAAAACTAGAAAGCCCAGGGCTGGGGAGCAGTGGAGTGTTTGCCAGGCAAGCTTGAGAACCTGAGTTCAATCCCCAGCACCCATGTGAAAGCCAGTGTGCACCTGTAATCTTAGAGCTGGGATGCAGAGACAGGGGGATCCCTGGGGCTTGGCAGCCAACCGTCTAACCAAATCAGTGAGCTCCAGAACACTGGAGACGCCGTCTCAAAAATAAAAAAAAAAGGTGAAAAATGACTGAGAACCTGGTGTTGGCTTCTGACTTTCAAATACTTTGCACATGAGCACACACATACACAAACACACACACACTGCTGAATCAGCAGGTGGGAACAGTATTGATCTCCAGTAACGGAAACTATATACATACACACACATATACATACACAATACATACACGCACATGCATACATGCACACATACATATATACACATATATACACGCATACACACATATGCGCACAAACACACACATACATACATATACACATATACACACATATACATACATACACTCATATATGCATACATACATGCATACACAATCATACACACAGGAAGAAAGAATACAGAAGTCCAGATGTAAGAGAGAGTAAGCGGTTTACTCTACTCCACCTCTCCAATTGTCATAGCCACAAATGTGCTTCATCCCCAGAAGGAGGTTACACCAAGTCCCATCCGGATATGCAGGGGTAGCATCTTTGCCCATTTAAAACATTGCTGCATGGCATGATTGCTCGTGGCTTGAATTTCAAGCAGGTGGATCTCTGTGAGCTTGAAGCCAGTCTGGTCTATGTAGTAAGTTTCAGGCCATCCAGGGCTACATAGTGAGACCCTGTCTCAAAAAAAATTAATTAAAAAAATTAAAAAAGAAGAAGAAGAAGAAAAAGGAAAGAAAAAAAGCCATCTGTACTTTTTTCAGAGTTTAGCGTTTCGCCTGTGCTGTCCACCGCTTTTGCAGTTTCTCTTTAGCCGACAGTATCTCTTCACCCCTTGGGTGAACCAGTGCACTTGCTTACCACCAAATCTAATGAAGAAGAAATTAGGATGACCGTTGGACGCTGACAGCTTTCAGTCAGTTTTTGGCTACAGGGTGTGGTCTATAAGTCAACCAAAGGGTGCTTCCTCCTCCTGTCTCTGCTCCACCCAGGTCATATCAGGGAGTAACAAGCCTATGTCCCCTCATAATCAGCAAGAGCACAGGCAGCCTGGGGTCACCCTCTTCTGCTATTGCCCTGGTGGCTGCGTGGAATCCTTGGTGGTGTTCCTGGTAGGAGCCCTTTGCGCTTGGGGAGTTAAGTCGACGGAACCTGGGTGATTTGGTGGGTGGAAAGCAAACTTTTTCAAAAAATATCATAGTGGGAGCTGGAGGGGTGGCTCAGCAATTAGGAACACTTGCTGCTCCTTCACAGGATTCAAGTTCAGTTCCCGGTACCCACACTAGCTGATAGATAACCACTGTTACTACAGCTCCAAGGGATCCATCCAATGACTTCTGTCCTCAGGGACTGGCCCACATGTGGGGCGCGTACACACGTACACACACACACACACACACACACACACGCACACACGCACGCACACACGCACACACGCCAATAATTGCGGGTGGAGGAAAGAGTAGTGGTGGCCTTGGTTGGTAGTTCAGTCAGTGCTGGCCATGCAAAGCACAAAGACCTGAGCTTGGCCCCTAGAATCCATTTGCAAAAGATGGGCCTGATGGTACACGCTGGCAATCTCAACACTGGGAAGATGAAGACTGGGGCTCACCAACCAGCTAGCAGCCAATCAGGGAACCCCAGATCCAAATGAGGGACCTTGTCTCAGAAAACAAGGTGGGGATAGCTTGTTAAGGTGGCGCGTCCCTCTAATCCCAGTACTTGGGAGGCAGAGGCTGGCGGATCTCTGTGAGTTCCAGGGCAGCTTGGACTACAAAGCAAGTTCCAGGACAGCCAGGGCTCCATAGAGATTCTCTGTCTCAAACAAGCAAGCAAACAGGAAAACAAAACAAAACAAAACAAAAAACCCCAAGGTGATTAATAATAATAAAAAGGGCTGAAAACAAGAAGAGGATTGAAGAGGCAGCCCAGCGGTTAGGAGCAATGGTTGTTCTTGTGGTATGGCTGAGTCTGGGTCACATGGTAGTTTACAACCAACTGTCCCTGGAGAGCTGACGCTTTCCTCTGACCTCTGAGGGCCCCAGGCATGCATTTGGTACACAGATATACATGCAACCAAAACAACTATACACACCAAATAAAATAAATATACCTAAAAACACTTTTTAAGGGCTGGAGAGATGGCTCAGAGGTTAAGAGCACTGACTGCTCTTCCAGAGGTCTTGAGTTCAATTCCCAGCGCCCACATGGTGGCTCACAGCCATCTGTAATGAGATTTGGTGTCCTCTGGCGTGCAGGCAGACATGTAGACAGAATACTGGATACATAATAAATAAATAAATCTTTAAAAAACCCCACTTTTTAAAAAGGTTGAATGGCTCCTGAGGCCTACACACACACACACACACACACACACACACACACACACACACACACACAGAATTGTAATGGCAAGTGCTCCCCTGGCCTTTGTTACTCAATTTCTGTCATGGCTGAGGATTAACTGACACTTCATGTCAGTCACTGGATCACATATCCCCATCAGCAAGAGAAAGGTCCACCTCGCAGGTGTGGTCTCCCAGATACCACTAGATCAGTTTTCAGGGACCATTTTATTGTCATTATTTGGCCAGCTGCTTCTGGTGCATAGGAAATATGATAAGGGCCTTGCCTGGCCAACGGCCTTTTTTTCTTCTGTGCTTGTGTGTGTGTGTGTGTGTGTGTGTGTGTGTGTGTGTGTATTCATACCAGAGGTCACCCTCGGGTGTTGTCCCCCAGGTGCCATGTGCCTTGTGTTTGAGACAGAGTCTTTCACTGACCTGGAGATTACTGCTTATGCTAGCTGGTAGTTAGCCCCAAGAATCCCCCTGTCTCTGTGACCCAGGGTTGGAACTACAAACTTCTGTTACCATACCTGACGAGGGGGATGGAATTTAGGTTACTATGCTTGTTCAACTGTCTTGCCAACGGAGCTGTCTATCCTGTCCTTGATACCTTTCCCTTAGGAGCAAGGTTTGCGGTTGGAGACACAGACCTGTCTGGACCTCCACCTGCGGTTCCAGCCATGAACATACTAGCCACTGCCGTCTCAGTCAAAGCTACCTGCATGAGACCCCCAACAATGTCAGGCTGTTGATGTTCCCTCTTAGAAGGAGTAAGTAGAGAGATGAATTCATTCCTCACCTGAGATTCCAACTACTCTTGTGACCACTCCCTGCCCCACGCTATATGTAATCCTCCTGCCCCAGCTCTGTGTTGCCTTGGAAGGGGTTAGAGGGTAAAGATTAATAGAAGACACGTCTCCATCTAGGCAGCTATGGGAAGTGGAGATAGCCCTGTGGAAGAGAAGTCCTAGGTGAAGGTTGCTAGGTGTGGGCACAGCCATGTCAAGGACTCATAGCCCCAGGCTCAGAGAGATGTCAGATTTTTTCTCTGGTCCATGTGTGAACGTTGACAGCGTGTGCAGAAAATGTTCATCATCTCTTTCTTTCCCTGTGTGTCTACAGCCTGAAGACTGCGCCTACCAAGGTGAGCTAAGCCTGTCTCCTTGAGCCAGCTGTATAACTGCAAACCCAACTCTTTGTCTAGCTAAATGCACTGACTCTGCTTCTCTGCTCAACTCTGTCATGAACACACTGACCTTCCAGAGTGCTATGGTGTCCCCAGCAGAGACCCCAGACCATCCGGGGTGCTACGGTGTCCCCAGCAGAGACCCCAGACCATCCGGGGTGCTATGGTGTCCCCAGCAGAGACCCCAGACCATCCGGGGTGCTACGGTGTCCCCAGCAGAGACCCCAGACCACTCACTCCCAGCTTTCTGTCTATGTCTGCCCTAGGAAGGTCCATGCACTTGAACCAGGCTAGATGCAGATTCACTCCCCCAGTTATTTAATTAAATTATTTTAACTTATTAATTTTTATATCTATCTATTTATTTATTTAGAGCTAAAGTTTCTCTGTGTAATACCCTTGGCTGTTCCAGAACTCACTCTCTAGACCAGGCTGGCCTAGAGCTCACAGATATCTGCCTGCCTCTGTTTCCCAAGTGTTGGGATTAAAGGTGTGTATCACTACCCCTAGCCCTTATTGGTTTATTTTTGAGACAAAGTATTTTGCTATGGCATGGGCTGGCCTGAAACTTACTATATAGCCTTAGCTGACCTTGAACTCAGGCTTGTCGTGACTCAGCTTCCTGGAGGCTTCAACCACAGGCCTGAGCCATCACACACACCTAGAAACCATGCTTTTAAAGAAAGGGCCAGCTCTAACACTGTGGTAATTTACTACCTGCAGGCTGTTTCCAGTCTGTTCTATGAACAGGGAAACTCAGAAGCTGTATGGGCCCCACCTGAGTCTTGGAAGCTGAGACAGTTCTAGTTTACAGAGCAAAATAAGAAAAGAAGAGGAGAAAGGGGAAGGGGAAACGTGAGGAGGAAGGAAAAGAGGAGGGAGGGGAGACAGATGGGTGAGGGAAAGAAGAGAAGGAGGGTGAACTGAAGGAGGAGAAAGAGAGGAAGTAGAGGAGGAAGGTGAAGACGAGGAAGGAGAACAAGGAGGAGAGGAGAAAGAAGAAAGAAGAAAGGAGAGATGAGGAAAGACGAGGAGAGGAGAGGAGAGGGGAGGGGAGGGGAGGGGAGGAAGGGGAGGGGAAAAGAGGGGAGGGAAGAAGAGAAGAGAAGAGAAGAGAAGAGAAGAGAAGAGAAGAGAAGAGAAGAGAAGAGAAGAGAAGAGATCCCTAATCACTCCTGAGCCTCCTCTTGGGTGGTCAGCTGTGCTGCAGGAAATCATGACTGGGGATAGCTCACATACCTAGCAGCCAGAGTACGTAGTACCCAGAGACACAGGCTGCGGTGCAGCCAGTTAACCCCAGACCAAAGGTGGCTTGGCCTCCACTAGGAAAGCTTAAAAGCACACTCCGAGGAGAACGACACCCAGCCGAAGCTATAGCTCACTCGGTTGATTTGGAGTCTTTGTCTGATATGCAGAAAACCGGGGTCTGATTCTCACGACTACATAAAACAGATGCAGCCTGTAATTCTGCCTTCAAGAGGTGGAGCTGGGAGTTCAAGGTAAGGCTCAGATATATGAGACCCTGACTCAAAAAAAAAAAAGCACAAAATAAAAAAGAAGAAAGCAAATGAAACATATTGTCTAAAATGAAAAGTAGAATGGATAGGATTGAAAACATATTCGGCAATAAAACATTATGAATTCATGATAGAAGCTATCTACAAAAACAAAATATACTGGGTGTATTATTATACAGTGTATTATTATACAGTGTGTGCCTGAAATTCCTAATCCCAGCAGGAAGGAAGTGGAGGCAGAAGGATGTAAAGTTCAAGGTCTTCAAGGTCATCCACAGCTACACAGGAGGCCAGCTGCTCCTAGAAACGTGACCACCTGTGAGGTGGAAATAGTGGGTGCAGGGCGGGAGAGATGACTCAGTGGGTAAGAGCACAGGCTGGTCTTCCAGAGGACCCAGGTTCAGTTCCCAGCACCCACAAGGAGGCATGGCAGCTCAAAACCATCTGTGATTCCAGCTCCACCCTCTATGATTTCCAAGGGTTCCTGCAAGCACATGGTGCACACACAGCACTCAGGCACACACACATACACTACATATACATAAAATTATTATTTTTAAGTTAAAGAGGAGCAGGGTTGAAACTTAAATCTATACCAAACATGCACAGTGCATCTATCTATCTATCTATCTATGAGACAAGATCTCACTATATAAACTAGTCTGGCCTTGAACTCAGAGAGATTCACCTGCCTCTGCCCCCCAAATGCTGGGATTAAACGTGTACATTACAATGCCTGGTCTATTCTTTAAAAATAAAGTAAACAGCCGGATAAAGGCAGTGCATGCCTTTAATCTCAGCACTCGGGAGGCAGAGGAAGGTGGATCTCTATGAGTTCGAGGCCAGCCTGGTCTACAGAGCAAGTTCCAGGACAGGCTCCAAAGCTATAGAAAAACCCTGTCTCACAAAAACAAAACAAAAAAACAAAAAGAAAAAGAAAAAGAAAATAAGCAAACAACAATGACGACAACAGAAGCATTAATTTTATTGGCTGTGCTCTGATTTAAAACATAGCATAGGATGAGTACTAACATGAACTCTAACAAATGGTAAATTAAAACCAACTCTGTGTGTGTGCTTCACCTGCATGTGTGTCTGTGCCTGCAGAGCTCAGAAGAGGGCGCACGGGATTCCTATAACTGGAATTGTAGATGCTTGTGAGCCTCCATGTAGGTGCTGGGAACTGAATCACATCCTCTGGAAGAACAGTCAGTGCTCTTAACTGCTGAGCCATCTCTCCAGCCCCCATAAACACTGATTTGTTTTGTTTTGTTTCTTAAGCAGGGATTCTCCATGTAACTCTGGCTGTCCTGGAACTTGCTCTGTAGACCAGGCAGGCTTCGAACTCACAGAGATCCGCTTGCCTCTGCCTCCCGAGTACTGGGATTAAAGGCGTGTGTCACCACAACAAACTCCTCTGTTGCTTCGCAAAGACTGTCAATCTTCCTTACCAACCAGTCTGGAGACCTGAATGACATTGGAGCAGGCTTCCTTCAGAGTTCTCACTCTCCTTGTCCCTGGGGTAGGGTGGGGGTGGAACAGACTGCCGGCTGACTCCAGGATGGTTGTGGCCAGAGAGCTCACACCTGTATACAATGAGCTGGCCTGACTTAGACCTTTGTTCTTTAAACTAAACCATTGTTTTGCTGCACAGATCAAGCAGAACACTGGCCCGCCTATGTGTATAACTCCTGCCAACGCTCCAAGGAGAAGCCAAAACCTCGGCTCAGTGTTAGATCATTTTCTACAAACCATTTATCACACTTCATGGATTTTGCTTTTTCATGACCCTGACTAGGGGTGATATTCAAAATATTTAGCAACTGGCTTCTACGTGGCTACAGTTCTAATGAACACACACTTGCTTTAACAGAAAGTCAAATTCTTGGAGATCTCCCACTTTGTTGGTACTAAGGGTGAGGTCTGGTGGCCAGGAGGCAGTTAAGGGCAGGTGGGGCACTTAAAAAACCTTGTGAGGACTGGGCAATGGTGGCACATGCCTGTAGTCCCAGCGACAGACACAGAAAGCTCTCTGTGAGGTCAAGGTCATCCTGATCTACAGAATGAGTTCCAGGACAGGTTCCAAAGCTACAGAGAAACCCAGTCTTGGAAAAAAAAAATCTTGCCAGCAATGTATATATTATAATATATAAAATACACATATATGTGTATATGTATATATATGTATATGTGTATATGTGTATATGCGTATGCGTATGTATATGCATATGCATATGCATATGTATATGTATATAGCGAGAGAGAGAGAGTTAGACTCATGTAGACCAAGCTGGCTTCATATTCGCTGCATAGTGAAAGATGATGTTGAGTCTTTGATCTTCCTGCCTCTACCTCCCAGTACCAGGATAGTAGCCATGTACCACCATATTGGTTACTGAAGGGACCCAGGGCTTCAAATGTGCTAGGCAAGCAAACACTCTACCACCAAAGCCACATCCCCAGCCAGCCCTTACCAACTGACATGAGCTTTACAGTGTCACAGCCCCCAGGACAGGCCCTGGAGGTGTATGGATCCCTCTGCCCTCTAGAAAGCCCCAGCATGGAATGCTCTGTTCCTTCTTCCTCTTGGGTCTAACCACCCATTTCCCTGCTTTCCCAGTGTCCCGTCAGCGATTCCGTGTGAGAGTCTGCAGATTGCTCAGTGAGTGAAGGAACTTTCAAACCCCAGGATCCACAATAGTGGAAGCAGAGAACTGACTCCCACAAGGTGTCTTCTGACTTTCACAAGAGTGATATATAAATAATATATATATATTATTTAAAGGTATTTGATATGGCTAGGTGGTGGTGCTGGTGGCGGCAGCGGCAGCACGCGCACTTGGGAGGCAGAGGCCGGCGGACCTCTGAGTTCAAGGCCAACCTGGTCTATAAAGTGAGTTCCAGGACAGCCAGGGCTACACAGAGAAACCCTGTCTCAAAAAAAAACCCGAATATGATATGGGTTAACTGCCCTCCTTCCTGTCCCAGGCTTAGGTAACTTCCTCCAACAATGAGCTTAACAAATCAGTCTTTCATCACTGCTAAACTTTTCTGTGTCCTAAATAAGAACATGGCGTTAGAGGGGATGGGTGGGGAACGGCAGCTGCAACCAGGGTCATTGTTGGCAAATTAATTCCTTTTGTCCTTCAGTCTTAATATTTATTTACCGGCGAGGTGCCGGGAGCTATCAAGTTCTTCAGCAGCAGCTGGGCAAAGCAACACAGGATCTTAGCCAAAAAGACCACAAGCAGTGGCTCAAAGAACCAGAGTCAGCTGATGTCAGGGCAGAGAAAGAATAGAAAGAGACAGAGTGGGGTCAGGGGACGCTCAGCTAGTAAAGCACATTGGTATAGGGAGGAGGTGAGTTCAAATAACCCACAGTAAGTTTGGCCCAAAACATCTATGGGGAGACGGAAGGTGGAGACATGAAAATACCCAGAAGGCTGTGGGCCAGCTGGCCTAGCATATGTAGTAGAAAAAAATGTCAAAGAGGTCATATCTCAAAGAAGGTGGGAGGCAAGAAACTTATGACATTGTCGTTCATATGTATACGGACTATTTTTTTTTTAAAGTAGGGGCTGAAGAGATGACTTAGTGGTTATGAGCACTGCTGCTCTCTCAGAGGACGTGAATTCAGTCCCCAGCACCCGTGTCAGGTGTTTTACAACTGCCTGTAACTCCAGCTCTAGCGGATCTGATGTCTTCTTCTGGCCTCCAACGGTAAACACACACACATGCGCGCACGTACACATACACACACACACATGTTCAAAAAAAACCTCTCTAGAAACTTTTGCCATGATTCCACTTTTCTCGGCTTGCTTTTT